CCTTCCCTCCTTCCCTCCTTCCCTCCTTCCCTCCTTCCCCCCTTCCCCCCTTCCCTCCTTCCCTCCTTCCTTCCCTCCCTCCCAGGGTTAAATCCAGTCTCTATCTCCATTATCCCCAGCCCGGCGGCCGCCGCCGCCACCATCTCGCTCGGTGCCGACACTTTAATTCCCATTATTTATTTATCATGGCAATTGTCTCTTAATTGCCTTGGCGGCCCCTTCGCAGGCGTCTTGGCGAGGGAGGCCGGTGGCCATGTATAAATAAAGGCCCTAAATAAATAAACCCAGCGACGCCAGTGGGAGGCCGGTCCCGCGGGGCTCCGGGGGCTGCGGCTCCCGGCAGCGTTTCCCAACGGGACAAGCACCCATGGGTGCCCCGGCACAGCCGCCTGGGCTCCCCGAGTGGGCGCTGGAGGAACAAAGGGGAGCGGAAAGAAAAAAGGGCCTCCCTAACGAAGGGTTTTAATTAATTAGTCATGTCCCCGGTGACTCAACAGCAAATGGCTCTGCCTCATGTTTTATTGAGGGTTCTGCAGTGGGAGGCTGGGACAGCGGGGCCGTGAGCCTGGCACCCAGGGTGGGCGGCTCATTTGCATGACATTTGCATGTCATTTGCATGCGTCCCAGTGGGGCACTGGCACTGACCCCTTGGTGTGGGGCAGAGCAGGCAGCGTTTCACCCGCAGGAGCATTGTCCGTTTGCCCCCGGGGACGAGCGCAGGGCCTGGCTCCAGCCTGCCTTTGCCCCGACGGCTCCGCGGGGGCGGCGCGTGGGGGTTTAGGAGGCTACCCTTGGGGGACATTATTCATTTCTCTTTGGCAAATGCGTCTAATCAATCACATTTTAATTCAGGCGGCTCTGGCACCCCAGCCACCCAGGCTGCTGGTTCACGAGTGCCTGGGGTGGCAAAAAAAATAAGCACGGGGTTTTTCCCCAGCTCCTTTCCCAGAGTTGCAGCGGGATGGTTTTCCTCCACATGAGCTCTTCCCAAAGCCCTTGGCCCCCTCCTAGCACTGGGATGCGGCTGGATATGGAAGCTCAGTCAGCACCTTTCCCAAACCTTGGAAGGACTAACAAAAACCCACCCATCCTGGCCCAAGGCAGCCGCTCCTGGGTGAGGTTTAAGCCTTTCCCAGCCGTTTCTCTTGCTCTAGGTTTTTATTTTCCCTTTGGCTGCCATGGCTCCTTGAAGGGCTGCAAAAGGCTGACGCCGCTGCCCGTTTGATTGCAGATTTACAGCCCAAGCCCCCAAATCCTCTGCTGCTCGGGAGGTCCTTCGAGAGAACCCGGCAGAAAGTGTTTATTTCCAGCATAAAGATGCGTTTTAATATTTTAACATAAATCAAGCGGCGCTTTATGGGGATAATAAATTCACTGGCAGAAAATGCCTTTGCAGCCCGAGGCGGTGGAGCAAGTCAATTTGTTTGGGTTTTAAGTGTAAGGCGCTGTAATTGAGAAGGGGAAAGTACAGCTGTTTTAATTGAGTTCCAGCTACCACCTAGAGGTGCATGGGCCTAATAGGGAGGAAAGGTGAGGGCTCCATTACCCTCTCTGCTTGTGGCTTCTCCTTGTCCCGCAGCCCCATCCGTCACACGCGGCCCCTCGGGGAAGAGCCGCTTGTTCCACCTACGACAGCAGCAACGGGGGGAAGAAAGATGCTGGACGAGAACAGCAGTATAATGTGCACTTTATTTTGGTTTCCATCTCTTTTTGTCCTTTTTCTTTTGAAAATTTACGACCATCAGGACAAGCAGCCCGTGAGGATCCACACTTGATTTTTAGCATTGCTAACACCATATAAAGCCGGACTCATTCCTGACTCCTGCGAGCGCGCTGGCCCCTTTCCCTAATTTTTAAGGCATTGCTCTGTCGTGTTCCCCGTGAGAAACCTCTGGGCGCTGCTGCTCCTTTCCACGAAGCGCCCGGGTAGGGGGAAGGCACCTCGTGAGCCGCGAGCCCGTGACCAGAGCTGCCCGCGGGACCCTTGGTGCTGGTGATGGGACCGGTGCCACCAGCAGGGTCCAGTCCCAGCCCTGCGGCTTGAGCGGCTCCCATTCAAGCTGGGGCAGTCGGAGGCTGCTGCTTGGGAAAGGAGAGACACCCCCCCTACACACTCTTCCCTGAGTGCCCAGGGGCAGGGAGATGGAAAAAGGACAGCGGAAGGTGGGCAAGGAAGATGAGAGGAGGGAATGAAGGACGGGAGCGACCACAGCCCCCTTTGGTGGCCACTGAAAGGGGGAAACAGAGCCGAACCAGGTGAAACGGCACCCGCTCCATGCACCTGCGCCAGGCACGGGCAGCGCTTCCCGCTCCTGCAGGCCCTCCTGGGGCTTGCATTCCTGTCCCTGCATCCGCGCTCCATCCGGGAGCCCCGGGAAGGGCTGCGGAGGGGAGCGCTGCCCACGCGGCCCCGCTGCTCCGCTCCCGTCACCCGGCCCCGCTCCATGGTACCTGCTCGTCCCTCACGCTGCCACATGGGCTTCTTTGGAGCACTCGGGGCGCTTAAGCTTGAGCTAAAACCTGTCTGGGACAGAGCTGAGGGAAACTGTCCCCGCCGGCTCCTCACCAAGCAGCAAAACAAGGACACGGTCACGGGGCTCCGGCCCGGGTGTGAAGGGACTTCTGCTTTAAAAAGACCTCGGTGTTTCCAGACAGCTCAAGGTATCTGCACAGTCCCCCAGCAGGAGCACCAGGGATCCCACTTGAAAACAGCGCCTGATTAAAAAGCAGCTGCACTTCAAAGCTCGCTTTTCATGACACTTAACACCAGAGCAGGGCAGAGGGCAGGAGGATTCAGCACCCGGGGCAGGCACCTGGCTTTGAACCCGCTTTAATAAGGGCTGAGGGAGAAGAAGGGTTTAAAATATTTCAGGTAAAAACTTTTAAAGCTCTTGGTGTGCGAGGGGAGCCTGTACCGTCTGCCTGGGGGCTCCGATGCCTGGGAGCGATGCTGTCTGTCACGGCGGGTACTGCAGTGACCAAGAGAGGGCTCAAAAGCAGAGACCACAATCTCAGGCATTACCTGTCCAAGATAAGACAATCCAGGGCGCTCTCTGATAAGCTGGCTAAGAGCAGGAGGAGCCCCCCATAACGCTGCAAGGAAGGGGGCTCACGTCGGGTTTGTTTTCCCTTGGTCGACCTGCAGCCCGTCCCCGCCGCACGAGCCCCTTCCCTGAACACCCACCTGGTCTCAAGGCTATTGCTGCAGCACGGGGGGCTGCCCGTGTGCCCGTGGGGGCTCCCGCCCGGGCTGGGCACCGTGGGCACCTCTGAGCCCGCGGGCCGGTCCCTGCGGCGCCACACGGAGCTCGGAGCTGGAGCAGGAGCAGGAGCAAGGGCGACGCTGCCTCTTGCTTCCCCTTGGGAAGGGCTGCATCCCTGCGCACACGGACACGGCTCTGCAGGACTAGGGCTGCCAAAGCAAAGGAGGACAGGGTGAGAAGAGCAAACATAAACTGGGCTTTTCTTTGCAAGCAAGAGATCCCAGAGCCCAGGCGATCCGTGGTGCTCCTTATCCAGAGCATAAGAAGGCGTAACAGATATTTTAAAAAAGAAAGAGGAGGGTTAGGGCTATTCCCACCCCGATTTATTTCCTCTCTCCCCTGGCACAGGTGTTTGCTGTCCGTGGGGTTCACACTTGAACAAGACAGGTTGGTTTCTCCCGAATTCCTGAGGGACTCTGCACACAGCAGGTCCCTGCCTTCGGAGCAAGGGAAACGGAGCCGACTAGTGCAGTGAGCAGCCACGGCTGGCGGCCCTGCGGGGTGCTGAGACCAGCAGCACCGAGGGAGGGCGGCCCCGGGGCCGAGGAAGCGGCGCTTGAACCGAGCTCAAGGCAGGCAGGGTGGGCACGGGCTGATCACAGGGGCTGCCGGGCGCTCAGCCCCACAGCTTGGCACAGCGGGGCTCTGAACCGGGACCGCAAAGGGCTGCGCCCACTCCCTCCACACCCAAAGTGCAGATAAAGTCTGTGTCCAGGTTGGAGCTGGGCCTCCAACCCGGGGGCCTGGAAGCTGCCCCTGGCGCTGCCTCCCGGCCGGAGGAGCCCAAGAGCCCGAGTGTCCCGTGGAGCCCTGCGGGGAGCCCGCGGCGGCCTCACAGCTTCGACTCGCTCAGGACAATGTTTGCAGTCACAAACACGAAGCAAGAGAAGCCCCACAGGAGCACAAACACAATCCAGAAGGTGTGCCGGAAAGGGGACAGGTGCTTGTTAACGGTACCGCTGCCGAAGACCAGCTGCGTGTCCTTGCGGCTGCAGTAGGCCAGGAAAGCTGGAATGAGGTACTGGATCCCATTCCCAGCATAGGCTCCCGTAATCCCCACCAGCGACTCCAGGTCGTGGGTGCAGAAAGCCACCAGCACCGGGGGAATCAACGTGATGGCAGGAAAGACGATCCTGTCCACCAGCCAGGGGTACGTTCCCCCTTCCCTGTGGAAAAGGGTCTTCCAGTTGTTGCGCAGGGTCACGGCGATGATGGGGAAGTTGGTGCTGATGGTGAAGACCGGGAAGAGGCCCAAGAAGTAGCGAATGAAGGCGACGTTGATGATTTCACAGTTGGTGAAGTTGAGCGTGTACATGTCCATGAGGGTGTCGTTGCGGAAGCAGTAAATGGCGGTGAAGGACAGGAGGCTGTAGAAAGCCAGGATGAGGACGTAATCGAGCAGCACGAGCTTGTTGACGTGCCTCTTCTTGGAGATGGGCGTGATGAGGGAGGGCAGGGAGTGCTGGCACATGAAGGAGTAGACACACACCCCAAAGAGGTTGCGGATGCCCGACAGCTGCGCCATGGACGGGTGGCCCTCTGCTTGGCCTCTGCTGATGCGGATGAGAGCCAGGATAATCATGAGGATGAACGCTGCGGAGAGACAACGTGCCAGGTCAAGCTCGTGTCCATGCGCCCCACAACCCTCCTCCCATCAGCGCGGGCAGTTTTGGCACCACAAGAGCAGGTCCCCAGCCCCGGGGGACGTGGGACGGCACCGCAAAGGCAAGATGCACAGAATTAATCACAACTCCCTTTCGTTGCTGTCCAAACTCATTACCTTCTCGCCTGAGGGTCTCGGGCCACCTAAGCTTCTGCCATGCACGTTGGCTAATTGTCACCGTCTGCAAGTGACTTAGAGGGGCGTTTGAGCCTTGACCTCTACAGGAGGAAAAGATCAAACTTGCCTGCAGAGAGTTAAACCTGGTAATATTCTTGTATGGTTTGTGGCCAGGCTAATGCTTTCAAGACCTCACCTATATATACAGGCAGATGCAAGGGGACAGCTACTACAGAGCTTTACTGTCCCTGTGACCCGTCAAGCACAACAGAACAAGAACTAGCCAGCCATTTCCTGGGGAAGAAGGAACAGGCTGTCTGTAGTTAATCCCAGGTGGAGAAGCCAGTCTGGAAGGGACTAAAATGGCCCTGAAAGGCAGCTATTAAAATTCATCACTTGGAGGCATGAAGTCTGCTTGTCTACCCTTTACTTATGTCAGGGAAAAACCTAATAACATTTTATCAGCTTGTCACAAAAAGCAACTTGCTATGGACAAAAGGAAATGGAAAAATGGGGCTAATACCTTTATTTCCTCTGCTGGTGGGAATTTGAGCCAGCAGCTACTGCTAGACTGTTATTCCTAGCATGACACAAACAGCAGAAACCTCTTTCTGCACCACAGAGCTCACAGCAGCCTGGGAAAGACGATGACCAGCTGCTGGAGGCAGCGAGGAGCAGGGCAGGAAGCCGGCCTGGCTGGGCAGCAAGCCGCAACACTCACAGGCTGCTGCTGGCACGGGATGGGCCGCTGCAGTTTGCACGGAGGCGGCTCCCACGTCGGTTTGAGGCATCAAAGCGCAGCCATGAATCAACAGGTGTTGGAAAAAATATATAAATAAAAAATAAAGTGCTGACACCACTAGTATGGATAATGTTGAGTGTCGTAAATACAAGAGCAAGGAAATGAGGGCAGCACAGGTGCCCAGCGCCAAGCCCGCGGCAGGGAGGCCCCTGGCATCACGAGCAGAGCTCACTGAGGGGCAAAGAGACTCGCTTGCTCTGCTGGAAACTGGCAGCTCCAGATGGGAAACCCTGCCAGGGACAGGCTTAGAGAAGTGATAGTTATAGACCAGTTAGCAGATGCTGTCTCTGCTGTCCCCAGAGAGACCAGATTAACCTTAGCTGAAGCATCATCATCTCTCTCACACACACCCAACAGCCGTTTCCTGAACAGTTTCCCCTCTCTCATCTCATAGAAATCCTTCTTTTCCTCACGTTGCAAACACCGGTTTCACGCTGAGCACTTACATATCCACATTCTGCATTTCACCTCTTACTGCCTCAGGAAACCTCTCAGCTTCCAGCTGTTTCCCAGTGACAGGGCAAGTCTAACAGCTCTCCACAAGCGGACGCCGAGCCGGGCAGATGACAGCACATCGATTACTTGAAGGCACCACGATAGCCAGGCTGCTCTGGGAGTGCTGGGCACTGGAGACCTCGCCAGGACCAGGCAGAGGGCTGGGAAAAGCAACAGCTCATTGCTCTGTGTGTGCCCAATTCCCCTTGCCTTCACTCAAGTACAGCTCCTGCGCTTGCCCACGCTTCCCCTGCGCTCCCCAGAGGAGAGATGCTTGCCAGTCACATCAGGTAGAGCAAGATAACCTTAAAGAGATGTGTTCCAGGTGACAAGACAGCAGGTACGCTCCCCAGGGTTGCACATGCCACAGGAAGAGGAGAAGGGGCCCTGAAGACCAAGACAAGGCAGGTTAGGTAACTCTGGAAACACATTGAGGTTTTTCCTGCCCCTCTTGCTTGGGAAACTGGTCAACCTCTGAAGCCCCCAACAACCATTTCTGTTTCTTGCCTAGATTTAACTGCAGAAGCCTTGTTCCTCTTCCCCTGAACACGAGACTGTAAATCTCTACCAACTCTGCTTAACCAAGAGTAAAGAGTGACCTATTTCCATCTCCCAACTCTCACCGGTGGCTCAAAACCCAGCTTTCCACACTGATGCTGGCAGGACTGGCTGGACTTCAAGGGCACCTCCGAGTTTGGAACCTGTCTTCAGTCCGAGATCCAAAGGCTTCTTTGCCCCGGCATGTGTTTTTCGGGTAGGGAGTCCTGAGGGATCAGGCTTCCAGTGGATTTCCTAAATAACAGATAGAAGTCTACAGGCTTAACAAACTAGAATCCAGGTAACCTTAGTTTTTTTCCTTACATTTTCTTTCAGAAATTAAATCTTCTAATAGTATGAGGAGCGATAATCCAGGACTAAGATCTAAACTTGCACTGCTTTCAAGGGACAAGCTGTGATGTCTCACTAAACACGGGGGATCGTGGTTTGAAATGTTGCCCCAGTCTTCGGGAGACCACAACGTTCCTGCAAGCTCTTTCCTTGCCCTGGTGCTCCAGGGCTCTCGTTTTGTTAGATCAAAGAAATCACATTGTTCTGGTCTTCCCTTCTATCCCTTAGCACCTTTCTTGGATCTGGATTTAAAACAAACCCCCCTGGACTCTTCCCTTCAGCCAGGGCTCACATGCATATAACATAGCCCTCCTTCCCCACTCTCCCACTATATTTTGGGAAAGGAGACCTACTCCAAGATATCTGGCAGTTATCCTGTCATTCCTAGCGAGATCCAGTGCTTTGATGGTTAGGAAGTCCAGGATCTCAGAGAGCTTGCCTGAGCTGTTAGTGCCACAGAGTTCATAGAATCATAGAATCATATGATTCATAGAATCATAGAATCATAGAATCATATGAGTTGCTTCCTACTTATTTCCATGGACTTAAGTAGATCGCTAAACAGGGTGAGAGAATCTCCTCAGACATTTTAGATCCTACTGGACCAAAGCACAAACCTGACTTTGCTCAGCAGTATTTGCTCTTTTACCATAGACAAGAAATGGTGCAAAGATGACCAAAACATCACTCCATGTTTTTTTTTTTCCCTCCTTTCTCCTCCCACCCCAAGAACCAAGTACACGGGATAAACCAATCCTGCTCTAAAACATTCCTAGTTCTGGAGGAGATGCTGTGATCAAACCTTCCCCCTAACCTAATGCTCCATGGATGTATCATCCTTGAGGGAGGTGGAAAACTGGTGGCAAACCCAGAGACCACAACAGCAACCCTGTCCTGACGGCTGTGCTCTCTCTCGCTCCCAGAAAGAAGGTTTCTCTTGTCCTGCTCCTGGAATCAGGGAGTTAACACATTTGCATCCTAGATTTATCGCCCTGTCCCTGGGAGAAGGCAAGGCTGAAATGAAACTCTGAAACCTAGTTACGCTGGATGATAAATCAAGATGAAAAGAAGATGACAGACTCTGACTGACAGGCAGCTCTGAGCGGAGAGGCAGCGCAGGCTCCTGCGGGCGCTTGCAAAGCCCCTGCTCCCACTCTCCTCCACTGGCGGAGCAGGAGGAAGGCAGAGCCCAACGGGTCATTTGAAGTCACCCTTAGTTGCTGCATCAGCTGCTCCTACATTGCTCCTTCACCAGCAGGATGCAGTTGGTAAAAACAATGCTCTTTTTGTCAGTAAACAGCACAGAGTATCTCAGCAATGTGCTTCAGGGATGAAAAAATATCACCCCACAACAACCCTAGACCCTTTCCAACCCAGCACGCCACTGGCCGGGCTTTCCAGTCACCAAAGCACTGAGGACACTGCACTCATCCCATCTCCTGGTCTCTAGAGCTTTGAGTATCCTTTTAAATGAGCCTAGGGAATAAAAAGAGGGGAGATGCCATTAAGAGAGAGTTGGGATGTGTTATGACCTCCATTCAATTGCCTTTCCCTACAGACATCTCCTCCCATTGCTGGGGAGAGAAACAGCAGCTCTTGCTCTCGGACAAAGTGGACCTTGGAGGCAGCTCCTGTCCTGCTTGACTCGGGCTGTGTTGCTTCAGAGACAGACAGCTCTGCTATGTCTCTTGCAGACGAAAAAAAAAAGGATGAATATGGATGAGCACACATCCAAATATCAGAACCCTCAGAAAATATGGGAGTCTGGGGATATTAAAAAGCACATTTTTGTGAGCTTCGATAGAAATGTAACAGAGCTACATAGAGAAGCAGGGCGTATAATAGAATGGCAACATTATCCTCACTAAGTTTAAATATTGTTTTGCAGCATCAGAGCAAATACCTTTGGAAATGATAAATGCTGTCTCATGCTTGTGCCTCATTTCTCTGCAAAACGGCAGTTGCAGGAAGAGAAAAAAAAAGAATAGTCCGAGGCTGAAACACTCTTTTTTTTCCCCTCCGATCACAGGAGATTCCTAGAAGAGGAGGAGCTGATGCTGAGCATGAGATCCTGGCTTAGCTCTCTCTGTGTGCCCCTAGCAAGACATTACGTTACGGCTGTAAGGTGTTTTACCTGCTGGCCCTTGCCTCTTTCTCTCTTGGCATGTAGAAAATAACGGGAAGACCCTAAACTGCTGGGAAAAAGCTGGAGAGAAATGTGCTTTTACACAATTTGGGAAGAGCTGGGCTGGCAAGGAGGATATGAGCTCAGGAGAGAGGCTCTGCAGAGCTATGGCTTTGGATAACCTGTGATCCCAGGAAGGGGGGCCAAATGCTGATACAGCCTCCCAAGTCCAACAATAAACTCTCACCTTCAAAGCACCGGTCCCTGTTAAAGGCAGGATGGCTTTACTGGTTCTGGAAAGACAGAGGCAGGCGGCTACATGCCAGAGAACAGCAGAAGAGTTACTGGGAAAAAAAAAGGGACAACAAAGGCCACATTACAGCTACTTGCACATCAAGAATCCGAAAAGTGGAGACGGGGAGGAAATACTTGTAGATCCCTTCAACCTCAGTTCAAGTCAGGTCCTCTCCAACCCTGCCCCTACTCTCCTCGCACCAGGAGAG